GTATAGCCCAATAACTAACTTTAGTTAAATGTTGTCATAAACTGCTAATCTAGTAAATTCTATCTGAAATATTGAGCAACAGTTGAATCAGTCATCTATCTTCTCATAACTAAAGAAAGAAAAAAAAACCTACTGGAACTTAGGTTACAGTGTTTTTTGTTGTTAAGTGTTGTCTAGTTGAGTATGACTCATAGCAAATCTATGAACAATATTTCTGAATCCTGTCCTATTCTGTACCATCTTCACCATCTCTGATATGTTTGAGCTCATTGCTGCAGTCACTGTGTCAATCCATCTCCTTTGGGCTCTTCTTCTCTTTCTCTGACCCTCCATCCTTCCAAGTATGGTGTACCATTCTAAGAAATAGTGTCTCCTAGCAACATGTCCAAAGTATGATGGATGAAGCTTTGCCATCCTTGCCTCCAAGGAGCACCCTGGCTGTTATTTTTCCAAGGTATACTGTTCATTCTTTTAGTAGTCCCTAGAATATTCAGTACTCTTCTCTAACACCACAGATCAAAGGAAACAATTCTTTTGTTGTCCTTATTAATTGTCCAGACCTTAGATGCATAGCAAGTGATTGAAAAGACCATGGCCTAAATCAGGCCGACCTTAGTCTTCAAACTGACATCATTTCTCTTCAATATTTTAGAGAGGTCCTGGCAGGGGACTTCCCAAAGCAATATGTCTCCTTGTCTCATGTGGAGTTCATTTCTTAGAATACTTAATTTAGCACTTTCATCAGTCTGAGGAAGCAAACACAGCATTTTATATGAGAATAGGAATCTTTGGTGACTCATATGGTTAAGCATGCAACTATCAGCAACAAGGTTAATAGTTCCAATTTACCACTGTTGTTGTTGCTGTTGTTATGTGCCATCGAGTCACTTGCCATTCATAGTGAGCCTATGTACAACAGCCCTAAACCCTGCTCGTCCTGTGCCAGTCTCACTATGTCTGACACACCCACCCCAATTACGCCAGTCACTGAATCAATCCACCTCACAGAGGGTCTTCCCCTCCTGCGCTGTCCTTCCCCCCTCCCAAGCATGATGTTCCTCTCTAAAGACCAGTCCCTCCTTGCAACATGTTCAAAGTATGTCAGACAAAGCTTCAGAGTCCTTGCCTCCAAGGAGCAGCCTGGTTTAACCATCTCCAGGATGAATTGGTTTGTTTTCTTGGCAGTCCTTGGTACATTCAATACTCTTCTCTAGCACCACAGCTGAAAGGCATCAATTCGCTTTCTATCCTCCCTAGTCATTGTTCAACTCTCGGATGTATAGCATGTGATTGCAAAGACCATGGCCTGTATCAGGCACACCTTAGTCCCTAGAATGACACCATTGCTCTTCAGTTCTTTGGTGAGGTCCCTAAGAGCAGACTTTCTTATCACAATATGTCTTTTCATTTCCTGGCTACTGGTGCTAAGAGTGTTGACTATGGAGCCAAGCAAACTAAAGCTGTGAACAATCTCAATTTCTTCACCATCCATCCTGAAGCTGCTGATTGGTCCAGTGGTGAGAATCATTGTCTTCTTGATATTAAGCCTAATCCATGTTGAAGGCTGCAGTCCTTGACCCTCAGCAGCAAGTGCTTCAGGTCCTCCTCAGTTTCAGCAAGCAGGGTTGTGTCATCTGCATAATGCAGATTGTTGATGAATCTTCCTTTGATCCTAATGCCTCATTTCCCTTCATAGAGCCCAGCCTCCCGGACAATCTGTTCTGCACACAGGTTGAAAAGGTATGGAAGCAGGACACATCCCTGGCACATGCCCTTCCCAATTTTGAACCATGCACTGTTCCCTTGCTCTGTTCTGATGACTGCCTCTTAGTCCAAGTACAGGTTTCACATTAGCACAATTAAATGTTCTGGGATTCCCATTCTTCTCAGAGTCAGCCACAGTTTGTTATGATCCACACAGTCAAATGCCTTTGCATAGTCAATGAAACACAGATAGACATTCTTCTGGTATTCTCTGCTTTCAGCTAAGATCCATCTAACATTAGCTACAATATTCCTAGTATCACAACCCCTTCTAAGCCCAAATCTACCACTAGACATTTCAAAAGGCTTGGTGGTGTGCTTATGAAAAGTCACAGCCTTCAAAATTATATGGATAAGTTCTACCTTGAAATGCATACACTTGCCATGAGTCATAGTCAACATGGGGATAACTAACAACAACAGATGAGAAAGCGAAATCTTGTTATTGTTATTGCTGCTCCTGTTAGGTGTCAAGCTGGCTGTACCTCATAGCAGCCCTGTGACTAACAGATCTGTCCCTTAGTCTATTTACTGTGCCATCCTCATAACCAAGCCCATTGTGATAATCATATGTCAGTCCATCTCATTGAGAGTCTTCCTCTATTTCACTTACCCGCTACCTTTCCTACCATGATGTCTCTCTCCAAAGACTGCTTCCTACTGAAACTATACCCAAACTAAGTGCCAAATTGTTTCACTATCCTTGCCTCTGAGAAGCACTCTTGTTACACTTCTTTCAAGACAGGTATGTTTGTTCTTTTGGCAGTTCATGATATATTCAAGGGCTTTCCCAAGGAGGTTGACAAATTTATCAGGGTGTTAGTTCCTCAACACCACTTCTCTGTCAGTTTGCTGCTCTGTGGTCACTTGCACGTTGCTATAATGTTGAAAGCTATGGCACCAGTATTTCAAATATGAACACTATGTTCATCCATAGTGGTCAAGTTTCAGTGGGATTTCCAGACTAAAACAGACTAAGAAGCAGGATTGGCCATCCATTTCTGAAAATCCTATGCCTAACGGAAGAATTGTATTGCATCTCATGCTGGCTGATGAGCCCCTCAGTTTTGAAAGCACTCAAAATGTGACTGAGCAAGTGATTGGATACCTGTATTGGGATTGCTTTAAATATGCGGATCACTTTGGGTAAGATTGTCATTTTCACTATATTGAGTCTTTCTATCTATGAAGTAGCATATGAACAAGAACCAAGAGTTCTGCGGGAAGAAGTATAACTTTAACTGAAGGTGTTGGATAAAAACAAGACCCCAGGAATTGATGGAAAACTAAATGAGGTGTTCCGGAAACAGAAGCAATCTCAGACATGCTCAAAAGTCTCTGACAATAAATACAGAAGATAGGTACCTGGCCAACTGATTTAAACAGATTCATGTTTGTTTCTGTTCCAAAACAAGGTGATCCAATAGAGTGTGTAAATCACTGAACAATAACATTAATGTCGCATGCAAGTAAAGTCTTACTGTTGTTGTTAGATGCTGTCAGGTCAAGTACTACTCATACTGAGCCTATGAATAATCAATCTAAACCCCACCCTATCCTGGGTCATCCTCAATCTCTCTGACACACTAGAGCCTAGTGTTGAAGTCCCCATTTCAATCCATTTCATTTGGAACTGAAGATTAGTCAAAAAGACTAGAACAGTATATCATCAGCAGGGCTTTGCTAGGAATTCAAGCTGAATTCAGAAGAGACTGGGTCACAGGCATATCAATGCTGATGCCAAATGGATCTTGACTGAAAAAAAAAAATCCAGAACAAACTATACCTAATATTGAGAAGAGTGGGAATCTCAGAACAATTAATTGTGCCCATGCAAAACCTATACATAGACCAAGAAGCAGTTGTTAAAACAGAACAAGGGAACTGGATGGTTTAAAATTGAAACACATGCATGTCAGAGTTGTATTCTTTCTCCATACCTATTCAATCTGTATGCTGATATATCATTCAAGAAGTTGGACTCTATAAAGAAGAATCTGGCATCAAGGTTGGAGGAAGAAGATTCATCAATAGCCTGTTTTATGTGGCAACACATCTTTTCTTGGAGAAAGTTTAGAGGACTTGAATCACTTAATTGAAGATTATCAAGACTAGAGCTTTCAGTAAGGGTCACGTCTCAACATCAGTAAAACAGAAAAACTAACCAGTGGAACAATCAGCAAAATCATGATAGATGGATAAAAAAATTGAGGTTGGCAACAATTTTCTTTTACTTGGCTCCACAACCAACACCCATGGTGGCAGCAGTCAAGGAATCAGAAGATATGTTGTTTTGGGAAAATCCACTCTAATAACATCTCCAAATTTATAAAGAATGTGGATGTCAGTTTAAAGGCTAAGGCATATGTGATTCAAACTATGTAATTTTCAAATATTTCTAATACATCTGAAAGTCTGACAATGAATAAGGAAGACTAAAGAAGTCTCTTTAGCTCTTAATTGTGGGGTTGACCGAGCATTTTGCATATACTCCAAACTGCCAAAAGAACAAATTGTCTTGAAGGAAGAACAATTACAGTGCTCTTCGGAGGCAAGAATGGTGAAACTTCTCACTTACTTTGGGCATACTTCCAGGAGGAACCAGAGATGGGGGAGAAACATCATGCCAGGAAAGGTAGACAGTAAGCAAAACAGAGGAAGATCCTCAACAAGACAAATTGATCCAGTCAATACCACAATGGGCTGGAGCATGACAGGGATGTCAGGATAAGATAGAGATGTTATGATGATGGATAGATATAATGATAGTTCCAGATTTGGTTAGGTTCAGGTTTGTTATTCACAGAGTAGTTATGTGTTGTTCCCTAGAAAAGACAGTTGGGAAATCCGAGTACCACTCTATCCCAGGAGAAAATCAGAGTGCTAAGTATGAATGGGGGGAAATGTGGGTCATATAGGTGAGGACAAGGAAGCAAGCTTGAGTCCAACTAACTCATGGCTGCATGGGGCTCGCCCCTGCTCCCCACTCCCAGTGAATACATATACTCGGGTCAGTGAAAAGAAACTATGGGCAATAGGCCCCCTGAGGGCTCTGGAAAATCATCAGGAAGGGATGTTGTTTGTGTTGTAATTTATTAAACCAAAGTTTTCCACCTTCCCATCACCATACGTGGAGAAAGAGAGTAGGGACTCAGGGACTATCACTGCTTCCTCACCAAAGTGGAAAAGTGGATCTGCCCTTCCAGGGAGTAACACCTATTATTCTTTCATTCTAGTGAAATCCAGCCAAATGCCACCATACAATGGGAGGAAGTGTGCCGGCCTTGGGTCTCCGGCCCTCGGAAGCTGATCGCCAGCATGACCAGTGACACCCTGAGACACGTGTATGGCGAGCTGGAAGTGCAGATTCAGAGACGACCTTCTGTGTAAACATGGGAGACTGAGGTGCACCAGGCACTCCACCGAGGACACTTTCATGCACAAATCGTCAGCTCTTGCTTTAATGTGTGTACAAGGCCCAGACAGCACTAAGTAAAACTCCAGAGTTAGATGTGCTTTGTGTTCCAAGACACATGTTCCCAGCTATTCAGCATGGAGGTTAATTTTTAATTGCCAACTTCCAAAGGATTCCGAGCATTAGCTTTAATTAAGCTCTAATTAAGCTCTCATAGCTCATAAGAGTAAAAGTCATTATTTGTTATCACAATTGCCTGCAACATAAATATTAGATTTCTCTTAGTAGGAGATTTGCACAGTACCTTGACTTATATTAAACAAGACTTCTGATTCCTTACTTAATTCACAGAGGTAATACAGCCCCTCAAAAGGGAAGGAAGCACATGATTTGGGTCACTGAACTACATACCTTTTTCTTGGACTCTGGATATTTGTGTCAGAATGTTTTCTCCAGGAATTGAGCACAGCGTAATTTTTCTTTTTGGCAAAGCCAGGGAAGGGTCCTTCCTCTTGCACCTGCAGCAAAGTGACTCTCTGCCAAATTTCACAGGTTTACCATGTGAAAAGATGTGGCCCCCATATTAACAAATTGCATTTGTGGGAAATTTTATCACCTAAGAAGAGATAAGAAAGCAACTGCAATCAGGAGTGTAATAAGGGTAACAGTGTCCAGGACAATATCTAAATTGAGACACCAAGCCCTCAATGGGAATGCCCAGATGCATTCCTTAAGCTATGCACCACTCCCTTCTAGTTTCAAGATGAACAGACTTGATAGTGACAGCACCTCAGTAGAAACACCTTCCTCCTTTCTATCTCATTGCTCCAGTGAGGTGCCTTTCATATTTGTGACACCTTATCTGGGACTCCCCTCTGTACCCCACCTCACTATGTCTCTGAATTTCTATCATGATTAAGTTTGAATGTCAAGCCTGACTAGGTTCATACAATCTACTCAATAGAGCTTTCTTTCTCCTTCATTTGACCCCCAGGGCATGTGCTGTACTTGCTATACTTAAGATACACCTTTCGGTGCTCTATGCAAACCTATTAAATAATGTATTTTATAGTGCATTTTATGGGAGCTGTCACACTGGCTTGATCAGCAAGGACCAATATCCTTTATGTTAACTCTTCCTGGGTATAGTACTTAGAAGCAATGAGGATGGTCTGGACAGATGATATGAGGAACTTGTCTCCATAATGAAGTGTGGTCATTTCTCCCTCTGGAATCTTTTCTTCCATATACCATGCAGGCCAACGTATATTGGTAGGCATGGAATAAGCCCAACACACTGGAGAAGCTAGATTTAGTGAGCAGGTATGTGGGAGGATTGGCAGCCAATAATTCTCTCTTCTCCTCCATATACCCGACGTCAAGACTTCAGTGACATGCTCAGGGGCTGAGAAGTAATATGGCCTTGGCTTTGTGAAAAGGTGATGGTTTCAGACCTAGTACTAGAGAATACTGACAGCATTTGTATTAGACACCAAGGATCCAGGACACACGGCTACCTGGTGTTTCTTTATAAGGCTGATTTATGGTCAGTATTTCTCATTGATATGCCTAGGGTGTGATTTAGGACACTAGATAGAGATTCTTTAAAAAAACAAACAAACAAACACAAAATGGACAGTAAGAAGGAAGCAAAAGGAAAGCCAGAGCAGGATTCCCTGGTTAGTATAACCAATGTCTGAGGCCTTTAAAGCTGTTCTGTGAGACTATTCCTGAGAATTTGGCACCAGAAATCTATGAAGCATGGCTGTTCTCACTTTAAGTGCATTATACCAAACTAGTAAATGATCTCATGCCATTTTCCAAGTTTTCCAATACCCAATTTAAACAAAAATGCATTTTGCTAGATGATTAAGCTGGCTTGGCTTCATGTATTCTTATTAACCACATTGTAATAGAAGCTTAAAATAAAGTTAATCTGATTGTGTTTGCATCTGCACCAAAGTGAGCTCTCTTCATTATCAGTCCAGCGTAATATCAGCTACAAAGGGGATAAATAATATATACTGCATTGAAACAGATGAGGGAGAGAACTGGTTAAAAGGGATATATGATTAGGTAGTATTGTCATGACAGGAGTCCAGAATGAAGGCTGCACAATGGAGTGGAATTGGGGGGAGGGACGGATTATATAACAATGAAAGATTTTTTTCTTTTACTTTTCAAAGAGAAGAGCGAATTGGGGGGGAAAGGGTGAGCAGGGAGAAAAGTGCAACAGTGAATGAATAGAAACCCTAAGTCTCTGTAAACTTTCATTAAAATTAATTAAAAAAACATACCTCATCCTCCATCAATGGCATATGCATAGGAAGACAAACATTCTTCCTTTAAACAGGCTGACTTTAATAGGCATCGATGTCACAGTTAGCTTCCCTCACTTATCTTTACAGATCATTAACTATGTTCACCAAAGGAAGAAGTGTGCATATTAAGTTCAAAAATCAGCTTTCAGAAACTGGAAAATCCTCATAAATTACTGTGGTGAATTGGTGGACAATGCTGCCTGGATCCCTATCATAGTGAACACTGATTGATCTTGCAAGAGGAATGGCACAGGCATGCAGGGCATCCTCTAGACATGGTTAATCAGTTGCAGCTCAGATTGGGCTTCAGGGTCCTTCTCAATGCCAAGTCACCAGAACTCCCTTGTTGATTGTCGTATGTGCCATTGAGTCAGAATCAACTCATAACTGACACTCTAGCAGGTTTTCAGAGGCTGTTAGTCTCAGAGAATAAGACTATTCTTTCTCCTGTGAAACACCTGGTAGATTCAAACCACCTACTTTGTGTTGACAGTATGGCTTTTTACCATTAAAGCATCAGAGCTCCCTTAGGAAACCATGTATCATGGCAAAGTGGTCCGGGTTCTGGGAGTGGGCAATGAATGTTCACTTAAAAGTTTCAGAATAACGACACGACACACTGACTCTCCAGTAAGTTTTCAAGGCTGTGAATAGAATTGGAGGAAATTGCCCATTTGTATCCCACAGAACTGCTGATGGATTAGAACTACCTTTGGATTAACCGTACAACTCACCACAGAGTTGCCACCAGACTTCCCTAGCTTTGTTTTTGTTGAATATTGTTTAAGGAATGTCTTCTTTTGTGGCACACTGGTTAAAGAGCTCAGCTGATAATCAAAAGGTCAGTGGTTCAAACTCACCTGTCACCCCACAACAGAATGGTGTGGCAGTCTGCTAACAGTTAACATTAAAATGCAACTTGGAAATCCCATAAGACAGTTCTACTCTGGTTGCTGTGAATGAGAGTCAATTTTATGAAACTGAGTGGATAAACTCTTTAAGTCTCTTGATTTTTTCCACAGAATTTTAAAACTCTTGAATTTTTTTTTAAAAAATCTGCCTTCAAATATCTTCAAAGTGCCACAGTATAACAAATGTAAATGTGTTACAAACTAGAATTTGGAAGAAAATTAAATTTATGCTACACTCAATGACATTCAAAAGTCACAAAATTCCAAATCGAATAGCATAGTTTGTAAATACCCATCAGCCAACTTGTTATTGTTATTAGGTACCATCCAGTCGAATATGATTCATAGAAACACTATGAGCAGCAGATATGGACCCCGTTTGATCCTGTGCCATCTTCACACTTCCTGAAACACTATCGCCCACAGAGGCAGTCACTGTATCAATCCACCTGGTTGAGGGTCTTCCTCTTCTTCACTTATTCTCTACCTTTCAAAGCATCATGTCCCTCTCCAAGGAATAACCCCTCCTGGCAACATGTCCAAAGTATGTGAGGTGAAGCCTCATCATCCTTGCCTCCAAAGAGCACTCTGGCTGCACCCTCTGTAAGACATATTTGTTTGTTCAACCAATTAGCCATTTTTATCTCCCACCATAGTCCTCCATCCTTCCAGTCACCTCATTGTCATTGAATCAGAACTTGGTTTCCAAGTCTGTAAATCAAATGGAAGGAAAGGACTCATCTTTCTCCAGAGGAGTAGCCTGAAAGGCTTTGGGTTAAGCATCACAATTCCCTATGGAGTACCCTACCAGAGCTCCCTTCCAACCACCTTATCCACCTTTTTGACTAACCATCTTTCTAATAATCATCTATGTGAGCACTAATAATTGCACTCATACATTAAAAAGTATTTATTAAATGTCATGTATACACTATAGCACGGAGATAACCCTCACATCTGTCTTAAAGGGAAAACTCTCCAACTCCAAAACCAAGGAAGACCTTCTTTCTCACCTTAGAGCAAACTTATCCTTTTGATTTCAAAATCCTAACTCTTCAAACCCATCTGTACCTTCCTAAGTCTTTGTATGTCCACAGCAGAATGAATTCTTTTAAAAAAACAAATAACTTTTGATGTGTCTGTCTGAAATAAATTTATAAAAATAAGCATATATGTGTAAGGGAAGGGAGCTCTGGTTGTCTAGTGACAAGAAGCTCCAAAGGAAAAAGATGGGCCATTTTCTCCCATGCAACTAAAGTGCCCCTGAAAACCTGCCAGGGGGTCAACTATGGGTCACTTCTGACTTGATGGTATACACAACAACAACAATGTAAGGGAAGAGATAAAACATCCTAGGTTCAGAGAAAGGCAAATAACTTATGCACACCTTAATTGCTATGAGTCACACAGAGCATTTTCCATCTCTAAAAACAACAGATCTTTGAAAAGGTGTTTGGTAAACTAACTGCTGATACATTTCATGAACTAATGAATTAATGTTCACACTAATCACTGTTTTAAGACCTAATTAATTATACAGACAGTATTTAACTAGCCTTGAAACTGACTCCAACACAGGGAGTCTTAATAAGTATTTCCTGTTAGCAAAAAACAAGTGCCAAGAACACAAAGATGATTCTTTTCTCCTTTAGCTGAGTGTGAGCAAGTTTAAGAATCAAGAAAATGCAGCATGGAAAAAAACTCACGAGATTCAGAATTTGTTTTCACAAGGTAGCATGTTAT